TCTCTCTCTCTCTCTTGCCCTCTCTTGCACATTCATGTGCTCTATCATGAATTTAAACATAATAATAATAATAATGTTTTTAATTATAAAAAGAAAACTCACAAACGCATAGAACCTCAGAGCACACACTCTGGGCCTAAATCTACACTCGGATGCCAAAGAGCTGTGAGACCTGAGGCAAGTTCCTTTAGCCCTCTGTGCCTCGATTTACCCAGATGTGAAGAGAAACTGACATGAGCACTACAAGGAGCCCAGCATGGTTCTCAGCCCACCTCACATGCCTTGTGTGAGGTTGTTAAACACAGTCACACTGCGCAGCGTCAAGGACACACACAGCTGTATCTTAGGGTGCAGATCTTGGCTCTCGTGAGGAATGCAGGAAGGAGCAGGTGAAACATTCAGCAGGGCTTGTGTGGCCTTTGCGGTGCACTGGGGCACTCTGCGGTACAGGGACCTATACGGCACCAGTGATGCTGAAATAAGTCACCCTGCGTGAGGCCCTGAGCCTCACACCTGGAAAATGCAGTCACCCCAGCCACCTCATGGCCACACGCTCCTGTGTATCCACTGGGCTCTCCAGGATCACGGCCCGCCCCATCATCAGATTTCACGTATGCCCTCCCTTACTCTTCAACAGAAGGTTTCTGAAGACCTACTATGGGCTCTGCCTTCTTGGCACTCGGAGAAGCACGAGTTGGCCAGAATGGGGATTCATTCATCTTCCCCCCCCAAGTACTAATTCCTTCCCTCCTTCATTCATTCCTAAATTCACATACTCTTTCACCACCTCATTCATCTACTTCTTCACTGGTTAATCTGGTCGTTCACTTACGATACGTCTCAGGTACCTTCTGCATGCCGGGCTCTGTGCTGGGGCTGGGGACACAGTACAGTTGGAAAGATGTGGCCTGGCCATGTCCTTGGACTTTACAGTCTGTGGGGGAGAGAGCTGGTAACTTACCGAATATCGGCAGCACATCAGGCTGGAAGGAGGACTAAGTCAAGGTGACTGAGCTACAGACCAGCTGGCTGGGCCGACCCAGCAGAGGTTCTGCATGCCGGGCTCTGTGCTGGGGCTGGGGACACAGTACAGTTGGAAAGATGTGGCCTGGCCATGTCCTTGGACTTTACAGTCTGTGGGGGAGAGAGCTGGTAACTTACCGAATATCGGCAGCACATCAGGCTGGAAGGAGGACTAAGTCAAGGTGACTGAGCTACAGACCAGCTGGCTGGGCTGACCCAGCAGAGTGATTAGGGAGGGCAGGCATCCCTGCCAGAACCTGCCGATGCACAGACTGCCCTGGGAAGACCTGGGAAATGGAGCAGTCCAAACTATAGAATCAAACATCTGTCCACCCATCCATCTGCCCATGCATCTATCCGTCTGCTGCATTCATTCATTCTTGTATGTATTCATTTATTTGTTCAATACATAAGGCAGCTTGGTCTACTTGGATCTGAGTTCTGATTACAACTTTGCCACTAGCTGAATGGCAAGGGAATGTTTCTTCCCTCTCCCTGACTGCTTCCCTGTGTGTAGCTTGAGTATCACAATGTCTGTGGGAGATTGACATGAAACTGACATGAGAATTTAATGAGAGAGTGACTGTCACCTAGAACATGGCAGATGTGCATTACATAGCAGCTGTTATTCTGGTCACCAGCAGCCAGTCACCTGGTGCTTGCCCAGTTCTTGTGAAGATGGACTACGTGAACCCAGTCATACCAGCCTAGGCTGCGGTCCATCCTGAGCCCCGGTCACATCTGCCGGGACACACCTGAGGCCCACCTGAGGGCCCACCCTATCGGTAGGCACTGATAGGATCCTATTTCTTCAGACAAAGAACACTGAGGCATAAAGATATTGGTGGTTCAAAGCTCCCCAGTACGTGGCGGAGCCAGGACAGCGCTCCAGGTGTTTTGCCTCCTAATTCACACCCCAGAGCCAGGTCCAGTCTTTCCAGGTGTCACTGAAGGCCAGTGGCGGAGGTTCCCCAGCAGGCCAGGGAAGCCAGCATCATGGCCATGCTTTGGGCGTCTGTTCCAACTCGAGGCAATCCTATTTCCTAAAACATGAGCGGCATCCTCTGGACTTCAGCTCAGCGGCCTCCCGTCATATGACAGGGAGAGGCTTTGGCAGGTCAGGCTGCTTGGAAACGTCTGCTCGTGACTCTGTGCTTGACAAGGATTAAAAGACTTTCATTTCAGGGCCAGCGGGTGGCATGATGGTTAAGGTGACGGTATGCCATGAACAACTGCGTGGTTCAAATCCTGGACCTGGTAGCTTGCAGACAATATACCGGGCATGTGTGCATGTGTGCCAAAAAATCCTACCATTTCTACATCGGCGGACAAGAGCCATCCTCTTTGCTCACAGCCCAGGAGAAAGGAGTGAAAGATGGCAAATGAAAACCAGAAGAAGAGGCCATCTACAGAATCGAGGGGAGCTGATTCCTCCCCACCCCGGCTGAAGCCCCTTCAAAGCCCTGCCCCTCCCTCAGAGGAACTGGATCTCTGCCTGCCCTGGTACCTTCCCGTCCAGCCCCTCCTTGCAGGGTGACCCCAGCTCCTCTGTGAGAATTCCATGCCCCCGTGTGAAATTGTAGCCCTGTAACTTTCCCTTTAAGAGCTGTCAGAGCAGGGAGGCTGGCCAAGCCTGGGCTGGAGGTGGGGACAGAGAGAAGAAAGAGAAAAAAAAAAAAAAGAAAGAGGCAGGAAAAGTTTTTTCAGAGGAAAATGCAGGGTTTGTCCTTCACCCTGACGTCAGATCTTGCTTTAATAAAACCCCCAAGGACCGCGGAAGAGGCATATCTGCAGCTCCCGATGGGCCAGGCAGTCTGGGCCAACTCCCCCGAGAGGCAGCCAACCCTCAGGGCTGCTCAGTCGATGCCTTTGCCACTGACTTCCAGGCATGTGGTGGTTCCTGCCCTGGAGGCTGGCAGCAGTGACAGCAGCCGCCACGGGCAGCGTCCTGGCCACGGTGAGTCCTGCCTGTGAGGGCTTCCTCTCCCGGCCCTGCTGTCTGGGGCCGGCCAGCAGAAGAAGGCTGGGACGGTGGGGGCAGGGGCGCCCACATAGGGTGCAAGGGAGATGCCCAGGGTGAGGGGCAGGGCTGCTGGGGCCAGCTGACCCTGACAGGGCAGGGAGGGAGGGGCAGCATTTGGGGGAACAGACCAAGCAGGTCCCAGGTGCCCTCCCTCCCACCTGAACAGAGCAGGACTGGGGCTGGGGGCTGGTCAGACTGTGCCAGCACTGCTGTGTGACCTTGCGCCAGTCACTCGCCCTCCCAGAGGGGCAAAGAGCCAGCACATCGTTAGGAGATGTCTGGGGTCTCTGAGTTTGAAAACACCAAGACTGTGAGGGTTGGAGAAGCTACAAGGAGAGGAGATGGGAAAGCCGTGAAACGTTGGGAAGGGGAACCAGCAGTTAGCGTAATGGCTATGTCGCTGGACTCCCACGTAGTCGACCGTGGTTCGTGTCCTGGACCCAGTGGCTTAAAACTCACGCCGGGCGCATGTGGGTGCGTGCCCAAGATCCCGAGAGGAGAATGGAGGAGAAGGGATTGCGGCGTGACCATCCCCCCTAGGGGGTGATTTCTCGCTTTCTGTCTCTATGTCTCTCTGTGTCTGTCTGGCGAGCGCACACGCCCTACAGTGAAAATCTCTCAAACAAACAAACAAAAAAAAACGTTGGGAAGAAAAATGCAGCTTGTAGCAAAAGCTCGTAACTTGAGCAAACAATGCTTGGGGTGATTTCTACTCCCAGCTGCTGCCGCCTCTGGACACAACCCTCCAAGGGGTTTGCAGAGTGTGCACCCCTTGGGTCCTGCCTGAATCCTGCTGTCTTCGGGGCTCCCAAGGGTGTTGCTCTTCCACCTGCATTCCAGGACACATGGGGAAGGGACAATGGCCTGCACCTCCCAGGTGTCAGGGGACCAGGCACGTGGCAAGCAGGGGCAAGCTGCTGGGGTGGGCAGAGGGAAGGGAAGAGGGGACCAGGAGGGGGGAGCTGGGCGGCTGCAGAGTCTGAGCCCATGGCCGGCAGTGGGAAGGCTGAGAAGGAGGGGATGTGGCAGGAGAGTTCAATGACCCTATTACTTGATGGCTTTGTGTGGGTCGATGAGTCCCATTCCTTGGAGGAGGAACCCTAGGTGCGGGTTAAGTGACTTGCCTCTGGGCTCAAGCACGCTGGGTCTGTTCAGCCAGGTCTGAGGCTGAGGCCTGAGGCCGCCCGAGAGCGGGCGAGGGTCTCCCCCGAGTGCCCCTGAGTGTGCAGCAACGGTGGCAGGGTGTCTGCCTCCTTCCTGCTAAATCCTCCTACCTGCCCGGTGCCCGCCTGAGGGCGGTGTCAAGTCTACAGAAATGACATGTCACAAACGGAGCTAAGAATGCAGACAGCCTGCAGGAGACTTGCCCAGGTCTCGCTGTTAATAAGCGGCTGGAGCACACTGAGGTCTTAGGTGCCAGATGCTGGCCTTCCTCCAGAGTCCTTCCAGTTAGGGACACAGCACTCCCCACAGCTGGGGCGGCTGACACAGAAGCCCGTGTCCCGGACGCCGGGCACAGCCGTCCCTGGCTTTGGGTACAGGTTGCAGCTGCTGTGGCTAGGAGGGCAGGGAGTAGATGGAGAAGCGGTGAGCATTTCAAGGCAGCCAGAATTTGAGAGAGGAGAGGAGAAGAGATGTTTATGGGGTCCTAGCCCACTAGAGCCCCTATCACCGGTGGCCCTTGCCCTGGAAGCAGCAGTGCTGAGAAGAGGGAGGACAGAGCGAGGGCTCAGCCAGAGGACACTCGCAGGGAAGGAGCCACGACACACGGGCCCGGTTGGTGAGATGAGGCAGGCTCCCTGCAAGAGCCAGAAGTGTACTCTCCTAAGCTGGCCCTGCCTGGGCCCAGGGTGCCCCCCACGCACCATGTGGCAATTCAGGGACTTCCAGGACAAGCATGTTCAAAGGCCTGGTGTGAGCCGAGAGATGGATGGTGAGGAGCCCAGGTTCACTCTGAAACCAGCGTCCACAGCAGGGCCAAATCCCCGCCGTGAGCTCTCCCTGAATTGATATGCATGGGGGCTGCAGCCAGTGGACGCACCCCCCCTTTTTATGAGAGAGTGTGAGTGGGAGGAGTGAGACAGAGGGGTATTTTTGACAGCTTCTGGCCACGTGGCAGTCTCCTGTCCCAGCCTCCCCGTTAGCTAGGACCACGGGCTCAGGCCTCTGTGCCCAGACTGATTTAGGCTGGGCTGGGACCAAAGGGCCTCTCATGCGGCCTCAGCCGCCACACAGGGCGCCACCGTGGCAGAGCTCCAGTGGGACTTGAATGGAAAAAATGATTTTATGTTCATATGGAAGAAAATGTGAGAATTGCCAAGATCACTCTGAGGCAGCAGAGTGGGGAGGGAGGATTCCCCGTGAGTGATGAAACCATCATGTAAAGTCCCGTAGCCAGTGAGGACGGTCCCGCCGCGGGAGGGGAGAGGTCCATGGAGCGCGGGCGGACGGTGAGTGCAGAAACTGCCCTAGTGTGTCTAGGAATTCAATGGGTGATAGTGGTGGAGAGCAGCCACGGCTTTCCCCCTTTCTTTTCTCTTTGCTTCCTTGGACATGAATTGACTTCTCCCTGTGTGGTCAGAGAAAGGGGCCACGCAGAGCGAGCACCCCCCCACACTCTGCCAGGTGCCGTGTGCACGTGGTAAGACCTACTCAGCTCAGCAAGGAGCTCGCACTGACTTTATTGGCACCCCTGAAACTCCAGGACAGCACTGCGCCGTAGATGTCCTATTACCCCTCTTTCTAGGTGCTAAACACTGAGGCTCAGAGAGGAGAAGTCATTTGCCCAAGGTCACACAGCCGGCAGTGGTGGAGCTGGCACTTGAACGTACCTCCTCTCTTTGCAAAACGGCTCCTACCTCCCTTGTCACACGTCTGCAGAAATGCGAAGCACCACGCAGGCACCGACAGCTCACGGGCTGCTGAGGCCGGTCCCCCACCCCCATCCGCAGGGTGACAGGCGAGGAGCTGGATTCAGGCGTCGCCCCTGGCTGTGTCTGATGGGCAGGTTCCTTTGCCAGACGTCACTGACAACTCGTCCCCACACGTGGCTCCAGCTGCCCAGTGTGAGCCTGGGGCTGTCTGAGCGCAAGCTCTCCAGAGCCTGCAACTGGGCGAACAAGCGTGGCGGATTAAGAGCCGGGCAAACCAGACCTGCGGGGTCTGCATGGGCAGGTGAGAGCCGTGTCCTCTCCTGTCGTGCGCGTGAGATGTAGACAGCAGCATGGCGTGCGTGTGCATGTGTGTGTGGACGTGGCGTGTGGGAGTATATAAAGTTCCTATCTGAGTGTGGAAGTCTCTGGCCCCAGAACCAGCTGCAGACCACTGTGGACCTGAGTATGTGGCAAAATATTCCTTTAAGCGAGAGAACTTCAGCAGTGTCTTTTTACACCTCCGGCATGTAGCTTGGAGCTGAGTGAGCATTCCCAACCCCTCCCGGCCCCACAGCTGCAGCCTCTGGCTCCACGCACTCTCTCCCCAGCTCTGCCTCGAGTGTCAGGGAAGCTGCAGGAGCTCACTCCAGAAGGCATGTCCCTCCACACGGCTTTGCCAAGGGAGCAGGCTAAAGCGGTCCTCCTGAAATCCTGCCTCTCAGGAGAGCAGCACTGCCCTGGAGACCAGGCAGCACCCCACTCCTCAGTAGCCCACCCTCACCCCAGCTTAGAGAGGGACCCCCATCCCATGCTGGCAGAGCAGCCAAAACCCAGAGGCTGCGTTTGGCTTTGTTTGAACAGGAACCCTGGGATCCCCCAGGAGCCTGCACTGTCTCTGAGCAGCTGTCCCTCCACACTCCATGGGCTCAGATTTGGGACTGGGAGAGTCAGAGCAGCCATGGCTATTGGGAGCCTAGGTGGGGGCGGGCAGAGAGGGCACCAACCCCAGCCCAGGAAGCAAGCAGGGTTGGAAGGGCCACTGGTGTGTTGGGTGCAGCACCATGAAGCACCCATGTCCCTGTGCTGTGGGCCATAACAGGCTGGCATGGCCCTAGCACTGACGCTGTTCCAGAACACAGTGCCCTGGCAGCCCGCACGTGTCTACTCCCTGAAAGCCACACGCACCAGCGAGGCTGGCTGTACCAGCACAGTGCAGACCAACACGGTCCACTCGGTAGCTGCTCACCCAGGAGACCATGCAGAGCTTGGAAGGCTGCTAGTCCCAGCCGAGGTGTGCTGTGTGCGTGAAACCCACACTGGGGCCAGCTCGGTGGCACAGCGGCAACTCACGACTCAAACGATGCTGGATTCCCATGGAAGACCACGGGTTCAGCTCCCCGGTCATCCTGTACATGCCACACGTGTGCGCCCATGATCCTGGCTGGCTCAGAAAGTTGTGGGAGGTCTGTGGAATGAGACCCTGTTGATGACACTTATCTCTCTCTGTCTTTCATTCTAATAAAAGAAAGAAAGAAACTTCTTAAAAAGTACACCTGGGGGGGGGCAGAAGGTGGTGTGGTAGCGAAGGCACTGGACTCCCACGTGGTTGACTGTGGTTCAAGTTCTGGATCTGGTGGCTTGAAGCTCATGCTGGGTACACGTGCACGCATGCCCCAAATCCTGAGAAGTGAATGGAGAAGGGACTGCGGCGTGGCCATCTCCCCTCGGGAGGTGATTTCTAGTTTTCTGTCTTTGTCTCTCTCTCTCTCTCTGGCAAGCACATGTGCCCTATAACAACCATCTCTGGGGGGGGGAACAAAACCTGCACCCAGACTTCAAAGACAGTATAAATGTAAGAACATAATATTCTCAATGATTTTTAAACTGACTCCATGTTGAAATGATAATTGTTGACTATATTGGGGTAAGCAAAATTCATTCTCACGCTAAATTTCACCTGTTTCTTATGGTTTAGTGTGGCTACTGGAACAGATAAAATTCCATTCCTGGCTCCCCTGAAATCCTGCCAGACAGTACGGGCCTAGGAAGACCCCAGCATAC